GCTGGGGATGCCCCATTCCTGACGGGAAGGATGAAGATGCCAAGCTCCCCGAGTCGACGCTCGCTTTCCTGCTGTGGGAGTTAACACTCCCTCTTCCCGCAGGACGGAGAGGGCCCCCCCAGCAGGGGACAGCGAGTTCACAGCGGGTCCCCACCATCCACCGCACATGATAACCCAGTGGACGGAGCCCGCCCGGGCCAGGCACGGGCCTAAGGACCGAGCTCGCTGGCCCACGGCCATCGGCGCACAGCGTCCGTCTCCTCCAGGGACCGTCACAAAGACCACGGTCTCCCCTGCTTCTGAAAAACCCACCACGGGGCCCAGGTCCAAGTCCTGCTCAGGGTGGGTCCACTCAGAACCAGGACCTGCTTATGTCCTAAGATCAGGCCAGACATCAGCTGGCGAGGCAAAGGCCACGGTCACCCCTAGACTCATTGATGTTTCTCTCTCTCTCCCTCTCCCTTCCTCTCTGCAATCAATGAAAAATATATACATTAAAAAATATATGTCTTTTAAATTAAAAGCAGTAATGATAACAGAATTTAAGATTCACGCCATGGTCTCAAAAGGAACCACCACAGAGGCCAGAGCCACAAAGACAAAAGAAAAGGAAGTATGATGCCTGGCACAGGCCTCGCCCGGCCAGGCAGCCAGGGCCACGAGGCTCCACAGCGACCTGCCCGGCCTGGAGGGGGCACCGCACCCCAGCAGAGTCAACCTGGCCCCGAGGGGAGACGCCCTAGGCCAGCGGTTCTCAACCTGGGGGTTGAACAACCCTTTCACAGGGTTCGCCTAAGACCATCGGAAAACACATATATAATTACATATTGTTTACAGTAGCAAAATTACAGTGAATGGATTTAAAAACACAATCTAGCCCTAACCGGTTTGGCTCAGTGGATAGAGCGTCGGCCTGCGGACTCAAGGGTCCCAGGTTCGATTCCGGTCAAGGGCATGTACCTTGGTTGCGGGCACATCCCTAGTAGGGAGTGTGCAGGAGGCAGCTGATCGATGTTTATCTCTCTCATCCATGTTTCTAACTGTCTATCCCTCTCCCTTCCTCTCTGTAAAAAATCAATAAAATATATTAAAAAAAAATAATAATAATTTTATGGTTGGGGGTCACCACAACATAAGGAACTGTATTAACGGGTCTCGGCATTAGGAAGGTTGAGAACCACTGCCCTCGGCATTCACTCCTTGGCATAAAACCGGCCGCAGACCCCAGGGTGTGGTCCGCAGCGGCTCAGTAAGCTGCAGTCGGATGGGCCTCCGGGGCCGGCTCCCTCCGCGAGCAGCTGAGCCCCGCGGGGACCTGAGAGGGAGTCCACGCTAACACGGCCAGGACGGGCCTCACTGCCATCGGCCCAACTCGACAGGCCGAGACGCGCCCGACGCGGTCTCACCGATGGACAGCAGCTCCTGGTTGGCGTCGATGCGGTAGTTATTCTGAGACGCTGAAGAGAAGGAACGATAAAACCCGTCACCACATAGAAGACCTCACTAGGAAAATGTTCATGAGATGAAAAGCAGGCTACACATTCCCACCTACAGCACTCGGGCTGGAAGAGTAAACGTAAACGTGCGTGAACCACATGCGCACGTACACGTACACGCACACGTGGAGTGTCTGTGGGTTTCGGGCGAAAGCGGGCGAGCGAGGCAGGCGGCGTCTTACCGAAGGCCTTGGCCACGGCGATGCTCTCCAGCAGCCCCATCAGCGGCACCACGGCCAGCCCGGCCCCCATGTCCTGAGGGGAAAGGGAGGGCGAGTGACCCACAGGGGCAGGAAAGGGCTCCCCTTCCCGCCGGCCCGTGCGGCTCAGGGGTTGATCATCTACCTACGAACCAAGAGGTTGCTGGTTCGGTTCCGGTCAGGGCCCCGGCCTGAGTTCCAGGCACATCCCCAGCGGGGGGCGTGCAGGAGGCAGCTGATGATGATTCTCTCTCATCATTGATGTTTTTCTCTCCCTCTCCCTTCCTCTCGGAAATCAATAAACATATTTTTTAAAAACCAATAATAAAATATAAAGGGCAGGAAGGGGCCGAGTAGGGAAGAAGGGCAAGTACACACCCGGGACCAGCACCGGCTTTCAAGGAAAGAAAAAAAGGGCTTCCCTTCCCGATGCCGCCGCGGCTCAGGGTCACACCACCCTCAGTTTGTAGCGGGTCCGACTCCATCTTCCTTAATTTTGTGTTTCTGATCATCTTTTTGTTGTTTCGGTTTCGTGTGGTTGGGCTTGGGGCGGAGGGCGGGGTATCTTGGAATCCTGCTCTGTGAAGCCAGGGCAGACACCGGCCTCCCACAGGCACGGGAGGCACGCACACTCGGCTGCAGGCTGTGAGCTCGCACACGCCAGGTGCGGACGCAGGACATCCTGCTACCGTGTGCACGAGGCAGAAAAACAAGTGTGAGGCCCTGGGGCTGTGCCCGATCTGGACTTCTCCCCTGCCTGTCCCTGCCCCCAGACACCCCTTCCCAAGGACTGGGCAGTCTGGCCGGCTCAGTGCTCCCTGCCACCAGCGGGTGCCTTCGGGGGACAGAACCAGGCCCCGAGGCCCCTGCAGCCCAGACAGGCGGCCTGGCTCCCTCCCTACCCACCTGGACCATCTGGGTGAAGGAGACCGTCCCGTTGGCCGTGGTCACTGAGAAGGGGGGGGCCCGCACCGCAGGGAGCCCCTGCACCACCTCCCCAGTGAGGACAAAGGGCCGGTGCCCGGCCAAGTCGCAGGAGTAGGCCATCAGGGCGGCGCCGGAGACCACCAGGGCATTGCGGGCTGCGGACGGAGGGGGGCCTGTGAGGACATCTGGCTCCTCTGGAGAAGGAGCAGGAGCCGCCCAGCCACGCCCCCTCACGCTCCTCCCTGGGGCAGAGTGCGGGTGGGAAACCCCCAATGCAGAGCCCTGCCCTCAGCCGCACTGCACATCAGAACCACCCCACGCGCTAACCGTCCCAGGCCCGAGCCACACCGAGACCGGGGAGGGCGAGTCTCCAGGGTGGCTCCCCCCAGCACCCGCGCTCCAGGCACCCATCCGGGAGGGGGGGCCCAGCTGTGGGACTGGCCTCCACAAGGCCCTCACCGGTCGTGGCCGTCCAGACCAGCCCGAGGCTGAGCCGCACTCCGGGGGGCGTGTCGGGGTGCACGGGGGGCGCATGGGCTCGCAGCAGCCGCAGCAGCAGCAGCAGCAGCAGGCAGACCAGCCCCAGCACGGCATCGCCCACCCTGCGGACGGACAGACGCCGTCACCGCCGACTGGCCCACAGGTGACCTCCTGCCGGAAACCTCTCTCGGTGGCTCTTTGTGCTCCAGGGAGTCAGCCCGAGGCCCCATCAGAAGGGAGGAGGACGGCCACGGCGCTCCCCACGCCTCCAGGCCTCAGCACCGCTCCCCGGCTGCCCTGGCAATCACTTCTTCCCTCTGCTTCCCTGCCAGAGGGGTCCCGGCTCCCAGCTGGACTCAGCGAGGAGCACCTCCTGTTGTCCCTCTCACCTGCACCCCCTCTGGGAGGGACCCCTCGACTGGAGGGCCGTGCTCGATGCGGGAACCCTGGCTCTCATCGCGGCCCTACCTGCCACCCGTCGCCCGGGCACTGGGGCGTGCCTTCCCCGTGCCCTGTGTCCTCTCCTCCGCACTGACCTCCGGCCCTTCTCAGAGGGGCCTGGTCCTTCTCTATCACACGGTCTCTTCCCACTGCTACCCCCCAAGAGAGGCTGCCGGGAGCCGACTCTCCCCCTGCACATGCCCCTGGCTGAGTCAGCAGCTCTGGGCTCCCGGTGATGCCGACAGGGCTGCCCTAGGGAACCGTGTTTGAGCAGCAAGGCCCAGAGTGGAGGAGGGGGGCCAGGAGCAGGGTGTGGGGGAGCTTCCCTGTGGGGGGGGGCAAAGGCAGGCGGGCTACCTGGTCTCCCCGAGGCTGCGGAAGGTGTGGTACAGCTGCAGGAAGAACTGTCTGGGGACGCGCTGCAGTCCCAGCAGGTTCTGGCCAAAGGGGCTCTGGTCAGACGCCCTTCCCCACTGAGGCCCGAGGCCCCGCCCACCAGGCCCCAGGGACCACCTGCCCATGCCCAGCCCCCCAAAGACGGACAAAGTGAACCCCAGGAGAGGGCATTTCACAGCCTTTCGGGTCAATGACACGCCCTGCCATTATTTTCATATCCCAGGAAAACCAATCTGGAGGACCTCCAGGCAAGGAGACCCATTGGTTCCACCTCGCCCATCCGGGCTTGCAGCCGTGTCCGTCACGGTGCGGCCCGCCCCCCGCCACGCAGACTCCACCACCATTGGCCCAAGGCCGTGTCTATCACCAGAGGCTTACCTTGATCTGCCCGACACCAATGGTGATGGCAGCGGCGGAGGTGAAACCTTTGATGACTGGGCAGGAGATGAAGTCCAGCAGGAACCCTGGTGGCCAAGGGGGACACTGAGCTGGTCCCGGAGGCCGCGGTGCATGGAGGCCGGGGATGGACATGGGCCGGAGAGGGGGTATGGGTGGGGCTGGGGCTGAGTCTGGTGGGCGCACACCGTTTGGCAGGTTTGGAGAGCAGAAGGCCAGGCTTGGGTCTGAGGCCTTGGGCCCTTCTCCAAGCAGCCTGGCTCCTAAGCAGAATAGGGTCGTGCGGGGGGCTGAGGCGCCCCACCCACCCTCACAGGGACCCTCACAGGGGCCGCCCCTGAAAGGCCAAGAAGAAAGTGTTGAGAGCAGCCCGGCCAGCGTGGCTCAGGGTTGAGCGTTGACCCATGAACCAGGAGGTCACGGTTTGATTCCGAGTCAGGGCACAGGCCCAGATTGTGGGCTCGATCCCCAGTAGGGGGCATGCAAGAGGCAGCCAATCCATGATGCTCTCATCATTGATGTCTCTCTCTCCCTCTCCCTCCCTCTCTGAAATCAATAGAAATATGTATTTTCCAATGTTGAGGGCAGGGACCCCAGGAGACAGGTGCCTCAGTTGGCTGCCCAGGAAGAGCAGAACCGCAGCCCCCCACCCCCACCCCAGGCAGCCCCATGCTCGAAGGCCCGGGGCCTCACCCAGGCACAGGAACCGCATGGCTAGCTGGACGCAGCCGGACAGGAAGGCGAGCAGCACGGCGTAGGCGGGCTCCCGGAAGGTGTAGGAGGAGACCAGCAGGGACATGACGGCCGTGGGGCCCAGAGTCACGTCGCGGGAGGTGCCCAGGAAGAAGTACACGAAGCACCCCACGAAGGCCGAGTAGAGGCCGTACTGCCGGGGAGAGAGCAAGGAGCACCCAGGAGGCGCGTCATGGGGTCACGGGGTCACGGGGCCCCTGGTGTCCCTGTCTGAGCGCAGGGCCCGGGGGCCGCTGTGGCCTCGGCACACAGGCAGGGCAACTGCTACCCTCTCAGCCGCCTACGAGCACAAACGCCTGGGCTTCTGTCTGGGTCTGAGTCGGAACCGCTCTTCCAGGAGCCTCCGCCGGGCCCCAGGCAGCCCAGGACCAGCTGGTGCCGCGCGGCCATGTGAGGGGCCCAAAGGCAGCCACAGGCTCTAGCCGGCAAACCAAGGCTTCCCGGTCTGGGGGCAACCAGGCAGGCATTTCTGCTCTGCTTCTGGGGGGGGCACTGAGGCCCAGAGAGGGGTCAGGCGGTGTGGGGGGATGTGGGGACAGCGGGGCAGACACCTCACCTGGGGAGGGAGTCCAGCCACCTCCGCGTAGGCCAGCGCCTGGGGGATGACCGTGAGCGCGACTGAGAGCCCCGCGATGAGGTCCATCCTCAGCCACTGCGTGGAGTAGCGGGGCATCCAGGCCAGGAGGGGCAGCCACCTCCGCAGGGCGGCAGAGGGGCAGCCGCGGGCCCTGGGGGCCGGGTGGGGGGACCAGGGCATGGCCTGCTCCATCATCTTCCCAGACGCCATGCCTGTGTGGGCGTGGGGGGCACAGTCAGGGCACGAGCTTTGAAGAGCCGGGCCACAGCGCAGCCAGCAGCCTGTGCAGAGGGGCCTCCCGACGGGGCCTCTAGATACTCAGGATACCCACAGGGCGTCTCACAGGAAGGAGAGGGGGGGGCGGGGGCGATGTCCCTGCCCAGCCGGTCCCATCCCTCCCTTCCCTGCCCCGTGCTCTCCCCCAATCCCACCTGCCTGCCCCCCAGGCGCCCTCCCCCTGCAGGACGCTTGCGGGAAGAACAGAAAAGTGTTTCTGGATGAGAAGCCTAAAGACACTCACACTCGGGGCTTGCCTGGGGGCGGGGCTTCCTTTTCACTCTCCCCGCCCCCCGCCCCCCCATCCACTGGGGGGAGCAGAGAGGCCGGCAGGTGGGGCAGGAGGCCCTGAGGCCCAGGTTTTTCCCCTCAGGGGTCTGCTGCGCTGGGCTTGGGGGGGGGTTCCCATCCTGAGGCTGCGCAGCCCCAACCCCACCTGTGGCATTCGCACCCTCGAGGGGCCCCAAGAGTTCTGGTTGGTTCAGGAAGAACCAGCGGCCCCTCCTCTCATCCCAAGTGCACAGCCCCCTCCAGGGCCGCCTGGCCCCGGCCCTAGCGAGACCAGAGGCGGCAGGAACCTGGGAAGGGACGCGGTGGGTGGGGAGCGGGGGTCCCTGCGGGAGGCGCCCGAACCTTCGGCGACCCCGGGCCCGTCCGGGCAGCTTGCCCACTGCGCCCCCCTGCGGACTCACCCAAGTTGCCCCCTCGGCCCGCAGACCTGCCCGGGAGCGGGGGACGTGGGCGGAGCCAGCACCTCGTGACCGGCGGGGCGGTGCTGGTCTCACGTGACGCGGGACGGGGCGGACCGGGACCGGGACAGGAGCTGGGACAGGGACCGGGTGCCACCGCCATGCGCCCCGGGCCAGTGTGCTGGGCGTTGCTGCTCGCCCTGGGGCTGTGCCGCGCGCACCGGGCGCGCCCCCGCCACGTGCTGCTGATCCTGGGTGAGTGGCCTCGCTCCCCCGCAGCCCTCACTGCCCCGATGCCCGTGGTCCCTCCTTGGAGAGGGAGGCGGGGCAGGCTCGCTCACTGCGGGGTCTGCAGGGATCGCCCAGCATTCAGGCCCCCACTCCTCCGCCGGCTGACCCTGCACCCCTCCCCTGTCCAGAGCCCCGACCTCGGGGTCCACAGAGCCCAGCAGGGAGGCCAGAGTGGGGCGATGCCCACCTCCCCAGAGGCCAACGTGCCCTGGGGCTCCGGTCTCCCAGCGGCTTCTCTGACCCCAGAGCTCTGAGGGTCAGCTCTCTCCCACCCACACCCTCTTCCTCAGCCCCTTCCCTCCCAGAATCTCCCAGTCCCGCTGCTCTTAGGAGACTTCCGGTTTGGGTGACCAGCCCGGCTGTCACAGGGCAGCCCTTTCTTCCCCTTTTCTGAGGGCTGGCCCCGGGCCAGGGCGCTCTGATTAACCCTGTGGTCTGTGGCCAGGCCTCAGCTCATCGCAACCCAGCCGCCCTCCACTGGGGGCTCCCTCAACGCCCCCCTCAGGCACCAGTGAGCCCTGCCCATGGATCACCTCCTTGTGCCAAGTCCAGTGCCGCCCCACCACACCTGCCTGCTAACGTGCCCACCTGAGCTCCCTGCCCACCTGAGCGCCCTGCCCACCTGAGACCCTGCCCACCTGAGCTCCCTGCCCACCTGAGGTCATGCCCACCTGAGTGCCCTGCCCACCTGAGGTCATGCCCACCTGAGCGCCCTGCCCACCTGAGCGCCCTGCCCACCTGAGGTCATGCCCACCTGAGCACCCTGCCCACCTGAGGTCATGCCCACCTGAGCTCCCTGCCCACCTGAGTGCCCTGCCCACCTGAGTACTGCCTGCTAACATGCTCGCTGGTTTTCACGCTTGGCTGGTAACACTGCCACTCGGGTATCATGCCTGCTGAATAAAATGCCCACTTGGTAATGCCCACCTGGGTGGCTCGCCCACCTGGGCATCGCTGGCCAGGCCACTGCCGCCGGACCCAGCTCTTCCCTCCCACACGTGGCTGCTCCTGAGCCCCGCTCACCGTGTCTGGTGTCCCCCGCCTCCTAGCGGATGACGGAGGCTTTGAGAGCGGCGCCTACAACAACAGCGCCATCGCCACGCCGCACCTGGATGCCTTGGCCCGGCGCAGCCTGGTCTTCCGCAACGCCTTCACCTCGGTCAGCAGCTGCTCGCCCAGCCGCGCCAGCCTCCTCACTGGCCTGCCCCAGGTGAGGGGTGGGGCAGGAGCAGGGCCTGGTGGAGGGGAGCCCTCCCTGCCCCCTGGGTGTGCTCACCTCCCATGCCCCACTCCCCACATGGCATCCTCTGGTGAGCAGGTGCACGCTGTGGTCCCCTGAGGCGAGGCCGTGAGGAGGCGCCTCCATAGAGGGGCCTGTGGCCTGAGCAGACACTCCGACGGCTAACAGGCCGCTGTGGGCGGCGGGCCTCTGAGGGGGGAGCCTTTCGCCATCAGCTGGCATCTTCCTGGTCGGAGTGGTTACATCCACGAGTTTACACCGTAGAGCAGCCGGGTAACAGGCCTGCGCTGGCCCCTTCCCCCACGGTGTGTGCTCACACAGAGGAGCAGGGCAGTCCCGGCGAGCAGAGGAGACAGCGAAAGCCACCGGGCTGGGTGCACCTCCTCCCCGCCTTACATTTCCTGCTGATGCGCCATGGCGGGGTGAGGAGTGAGAGTGCTGGCCCCTGAAGGCTAAACAGGCCGTGAGGGGCCGGGGTGATGAGCTGTCAGGCCCCCCACCCCCCGGCTCACGGTGTCCCCAGCTCACGGTGTCCCCGCCGCAGCACCAGAACGGGATGTACGGCCTGCACCAGGGCGTGCACCACTTCAGCTCCTTCGAGGGCGTGCGGAGCCTGCCGCTGCTGCTCAGCCGAGCCGCCGTGCGCACAGGTGAGGGCTTCCTGCACGGCTTGTCCTGAGCCACCTGAGCC